CTCTTCCTTGTTCTTTGTCCTGGTGGGTTTACATCTTCTGTGAATCTTTCCCACCACCTCCTCCTGCCCTGCCTTGCCCATTTTGTGTGTTTTCTGGAGGAGGCAAGATTAATGAATTTATTCAGTACCCCATTTTTGATGCTTGGTTCCCAGAGCCTATCAGCTTTCAGTCATGTAGCTTTTGTCTTTATAATTTATCTATGTTCTATCCTCTCAGTCCTATTTCTTTTGGCACCATTCTAACTCAGACCTTCAGAACCTCCCTGGTAAACAGGATCTTCATCCTAAGATTTTTAGCTTTTACATCCATCTGGGAGAACACGCCAGGCTAACCTTCACAAAGCACAGTGCTGTGTACGCCATCCCCTTGTTTAAAAACCTTTACATTTGCTACTAATTAACATGAAATATAAATGGTTCACTCTTGTGTTTAAGGACTGGCTTTACATCCCTTGAGCCTTTTCTAACCTTGAGACTTATCTGTAAGTTCCTTACACTGCGGCACAACGAAATTCTCTTTTCCATCATCCCTATTCACATCCTTGCCTTCTCACCTCCACACTTTCTTTGATTCTGTTTTTACCTCTTGCAACGTCCAACCAACCCCTCCAGCCCTTTTATAATGCTGTCTCTGCCACTATCTCTGTGATCTTGGGTTCCTTAAGCCTCAGCTTCCTCTCCTACAAAATAGAGAGAATAATACCCACACTTCATGGTGCTTTTATGAAGATTAAATTGGATGGTGCCATGAAGCACCATGCCCGATGCACAGTAAAAGCTTTACCTATTCTGCTTCTTTTGCTGCTGGTTCTTATGACTGCTCATCTACCTGGCAGGGAGCGTGTCCCCTGGAGTAACTGGCACTGCTCTCTTCCCACAGTTTATGCTGATTTAATAATTGCTGAACTAGAACAAATCAGATCATCCTATCACCTGGCCAATCAAGACATCACTTCCAACAGGGGTCAGCAAACTTCTATTAAGGGACCAGATGGTATTCTGGCTTTGTAGATCTCTTTTACAACTTCTCAACTGTGCTGTAGTTTGGTGTAGTATGAAAGAAGCCACAGATAATACTTAAATAAATAGATTTGACTGTGTTCCAATAAAATTTCATTTACAGAATCAGAATTGGCGCACAGGCCGTAGTTCACCGAGTCCTGACTTAGAGCAGCGAATATGAGACAGCAACACTTCAAAACTGTAGCTTCCACCTACTAGTTAATATATTTCTTTAGATACTCTAGCTTCTTTTTGCCATCTGTGATGGCTAATGCTATGTGTCAACTTCGCTAGGCCATGGTACCCAGCTATTTAGTCTGGGGCAAGGTTCACCAGGAGGATGTATATACTCTGAATCAGCATCCAACATATGGTGTGGTTTCTCCCATTACCAGGATTCACAGGTCTCAGAATCAAGCAGTGGAAGTGGGAGCGGCACCACTCACCGTTACACCTACTGATCCGTTAGCAACATTTTTCTTCCTGTTCCTGTAACTTTATGTTAAGTTGGGCTAGAGGGCTTAGTTCCAAAGGGAGGAATGCTTCCAGCAACAGAGGCAAAAATAAGTCCATCGAACTGAAAATTAAGGTGCCACCTGGCCACTTTGGTCTCCTTAGGCCTCTGTATCAGCAGGCAAAAAGGGAGTTATTGTGCTAGCTGGGGTGACTGATCCTGGCTACCAAGGGCAACTTGTACTGTCACCCCACAGCGGAGGGAAGGAAGATTTTCTGGAACACCAGAAACACCTTAGGTGGCCCCTTAGTATTGCCACACCCTGTGATTAAAAAGTCAACAGAAGGCGACAACCCAATTCAGGCAGGGCTAATGTCTCAGATCCTTCAGGAATGAAGGTGTGGGTCACCTTATCAGGTAGAGAAAGAACCACGATCAGGTGAGGTGCTTGCTGAGGGCAAAAGGAATATGGGTCGAGTAGTAGAAGGCAGCAGGTTATATACATCAGCTATGACCATGTGACAAATTACAGAAAAAAGCACTGTAAATTGTCATGAGTATTTCTTCCTTACCTTTCCATGGATGTGTGTGTGTGTGTGTGTGTGTGTGTGTGTGTGTCTGTGTGTGTCTGTGTCTATGTGTGTGTCTATGTGTCTGTGTGTGTCTGTGTGCCTGTGTGTGCACGTGCACGTGCATGCCATTCTTTGTTTTCTTCCTGTTGTCCTCATTATTTCGTAAGACGTAGTGACTTTATATCACAGTATTTAAATACTGTTAATTTAACATCACAGTATTTACATTAAAGCATATCAAGGAGATGCTGGAGAAGTCCAGTGCCCCAGGACTTTGTACCCTCTTCTGGGGAAAGGGCTAGTGTGTTTTGCAGGACAGTTGTAGCATGTCACATGAACATACAGCTTTTCTACTGTCTTTTTCTGGAGATGAGGTATGGTTAAAGGCAATGCATATGAGTGCCAAGTTGACAAGGGGTAGATATATGATAGTTAATTTTATGTGTCATCTTGGCTAGGCCAAAGTATCCAAATATTAGGTCAAACATTATTCTAGATGTTTCTGTGAAGATATTTTTTAGACGAGATTAGCACTGAAATCAGTAGACTTTGAGTAAATCAGATGACCCTCCATAATGGGGGTGGGCTTCATCCAATCAGGTGAGGTCTTAATAGAAAAACCCTGACCTCCCCTCCCACACCCCGCCAATCTAAGGGGGACTTCTGGCCTGCAGACTCCAACTGCAACTCCTCCCTGTCTCTTGCCTGCCAGCCTGCACTGAAAATTCTGGACATGCATCTCCACAATCTCATGAGCCAATCCCTTAAAAAAAAGTCTCAATCTCTCACTCAGTCTCGGTCTCTCCCTCTCTCTCCATATATAGAAAATTGAAATCTAAACTGGTTCTATTTCTCTGGAGAACCCTAATATACAATATTTTCTGAAATCTGCATTTGTATTTTGCATTCTCTGATAATAGAAACCTTTATTACTAAAGATATCCTTAGTAAAAGAAATAATCACTGACTTTTTCCCACAGATTTAAACAAATCTTCAAGTCTTCTGTAAAAAGTGTTCTAGCAAAAAGCAACAGAGCATAGAATTAGCTCTGGCAAAGCGACTTTCAGCATTTGTAACCACTTTTCCTGAAAATATTTAGTTCTGGGTTATGTTAATTACAGGTGCTGCAGTCTCACTTTAGGATGAGGAAGACTAGTCTTAAGGCCTAGATGTTTGAAACCACTAACACTGAAAGAAACTCTAAGTATGTGGTATCCATGTAATGTGTTTTCAATTCAGTTTGGCAAGGTCTTTAGGTAAGATCTTAAACCACAGGGCCTAAACTTTGCTTTCTTTGCAGTCTGCCAAACTGCAACATAAAGGACACAGCTGGTGACTGAGAAAAGCTGGTATAGAAAGAAATGCAATTGCTGTGACTTTTGTGGGTTTATCCATCATGCTATAACCAACAGAATTGGCTGGCAGAGACAAATTCAACTTCAACAAACCCACGACCACATCAACCATCACACGTGGAGTGACTTCCCAGCTAGCCTTCCTACAGCAGCTTGCTCAAAGGGCACAGCTATGGTTCAATGAACTGTGCCATACTTCCACTGAAAACAGCAATAAATGGGAGAGATTCTTCTATTTCTTTCTTTTCTGAGATGGAGTCTTGCTCTGTTGCCAGGCTGGAGACCAGTGGCACGATCTTGGCTCACTGCAACCTCCACCTCCTGGACTCATGCGACCGAATCTGTCTCAGCTTCCTGAGTAGCTGGGATTATAGGTGCATGCTACCATGCCCAGCTAATTTTTGTATTTTTAGTTAGAGATGGGGTTTCACCATGTTGGCCAGTATGGTCTTGATCTCTTGACCTTCTGATCCATGCCTAGGACTCCCAAAGTGCTGGGAGCCACCGTGCCCCGCAGAACTAATCTAGTTCTAACTGTTAAAAAATTGTGCTCTATGAGATAATGCAACAGATTTAGCTTGGCTGGGCTCTAGATCTTCTATAGAGATCTGGCTTCTTGGGCAAAGGTGAAGAAAACTGTTTCACACTCCCCACCCACCTCACCCCAGCCCTGGACAAACTAACCCCATGCCCTTCACACAAATAGTCTTTAGCGCTGTGTCAGGGCTCTGCCTGGAACCCTCTGCAGCCCTCTACTTTTTATTTGATTAAGTCCTAGGCAGTCTTCCTTGATGACATGGTCTCACTTCTCCCCTCATTTCCAAGACCCTCTTTGACTGCCCTGGGCCTCTGTGCAATGTGCCCCTTCTGAGCACTTCCTCTTTGAATGCCTCTATTGCACATATTGCAGTTATTATTAGCAATGACAACAGCAGCAATAACCATGGTCACCATTTATCAAGCTTGTTATAAGAACCAGACTCTGTTCCAAGTGCCTGACATGTGGCAAAATTCCTAAAACCATCATATGACCCACATACTAACATTTTCCTGGAAGAACTAAGGGTTAGAAAGTAACCTGCCCAAGGTCACAGCTATTAATAGGATGTAGAAGCATGATTAAAATCCAGGTCTATCTGATTCTATCTGCTCCCCATCCTGGCTCCTCAATTTGAATGCATGCAACTTGAGAGCTGGGTCCCTGCCTTACTTTGCTCTGTGTCTTCAGTGCTGGGCTGAACCCTCAGTGTTTGCTGGTGGTCATGTAAAGGGACTTAAAGTTTAGCAGGTGAAAAGCAGGGAGAGAGGCCAAGGGAGGAGGATTGGTTCTAATCGTGTATAAAATGCTAATTGGGGGATTACAGCCCATTAATCATAAACCTGAAATACTATATAAGAATGGCTCAATGTGTGCAAACACATCATGTAATGATTCAGACACTGCATACTACATATAACAAAATTGGCATGAGAAAGATTTAATGCCAAAAAATATACACATATGCACAGATAATCAGACACAGATAACACCTATATCCCATGAACACCTCAAGTTGATAGACTTCTAATAATTAGTTGTGAATAAAGTGAGACTGTATCTTTTTTATATTACATACCTTCTGGGATGCATTGTCCAAGAACAAATTTATACCCTTTGCAGCACTTTTTCCTAAGAAACAAAAAAACATTTAAAATAGAGTATTAGGTTAAAAATAAAATTCTTTTCAATTATTGTTTTTTGAATGAAATAACTTGTGCCCAGGAAACACTGAGGCCTAAAGCAAATTAGGTGTGGCATATTTTTAAGGTAATCTGAGATTAAAAGAAAAATATCAATCACACATGACCACATCTTCTAATACTGGGATATTCTTTCCACCACATAATATATGAAATCAACATTTTGAATCCTATGAAATAAAGTAATTAACTCAAACTTCAAAGTACCTTAAATTAAGCAATTGAAGGACTATAAAATATTAATAGGAAAAGGACCTTTAAGGTTGACCAGGCCTCTCAGTCTACGGGCCAGAGAAATACAAATTGTTTATTATAACAATTAACTAATCATAATAACAATACTTGGCTAATTATAACATAATGATGGCTAACTGTAACATAACAGTGATTAGGCAGCCAACTATTATTAAGACTGAGACTGGAACCTAAGCATTGATTCTCATTTGAGTGATTTTTTTTTAAAAACACTTGTACCATATAAGAAACTGAAAGGTACCTAAATGACCTGAATAGAAAATATAGCAAACAGTTCATTCCTAACATAAATATTTCAAACCTACTCCACTCTAACCAAGTTAATTTAACCAAGTTAGCTACCTGCTAGAAGAAAAAATCCACACTCTCTGAATGAATACAGCAAGATGCAGGCTGTCCACAACATAACAGGTACAAATGTGACCCATTCTCAAAGACAGGACAATCAGTACTGACAATCTCCAAGATAACCCACATGTTGGAATTATCAGACTTTAAGGTAGCTATTTAACTGTGTTCAATTACATAAAGGAAAATATACCTGTAATGAACAAAACAGAAAATCTCAGCAAAGGAACTACTAAAAGAACAAAACAGAAATTATAGAACTGACAAACAGACCTGAAATTTTTAAACATCCTTCTGAATGTGCTGACAGAAGAATGGAGAAATGATGCAGGAAAAAATTTGTGAATTTGAAAATAAATGAAAATTATCCAATCTGAAGGAAAGAGAAAGAAAGACTTTGAATAGAGATTTCTGGGCTAATATCAGAGGTCTAAGGTCTGGTACTTGGAGCTCCAGAGGGAGAGGAGACAGTAAATGGAGCAGAAAAATATATTTGAAAAAACAATGGCTGAAAACTTCCGAAGTTTAGTGAAAGAAATAAATTTACAGATTAAATAAGTTTGCAAACCCCAAACAGGTTAACTACACACATACACAAAATGCCCAGAGATGTCACAGTCATGTTGCGGAGACCTGAAGAGAAACTCCTGGAAGCAGAGAAAAATTAAACATTATATACAGGGAAAGGATGATTTTTAATTACCACAAACCTCTCGTCAGAAAACTACAGTAACCAGAAGACAGTGATATGACATCTTTTGAGTGCTGAGAAAACAATCTTGTTCAACCCAGAATATCCAATGAAAATATCCTTCAAGAAGGAAGGTGAAATGAAGACATTTCAGATTTTAAAAAAGGAAAAGTTCATTGTCAGCAGACCTGCGCTAATAGTTCTCCAGGCTAACAGGAGATGACACTAGAGGGAAATCTACATCTTTAGGAAGGAGTGAAGAGCACCATAAACAGTAACTATCTGAGTACACATAGAGAATTTTTTTTAAGTTCTGGGATACGTGTGCAGAACATGCCGATTTGTTGCATAGGTATACATGTGCCATGGTGGTTTGCTGTACAAATCTACCTGTCATGTGGATTTTAGGCCCCATATGCATAGGTATGTTCCCTAATGCTCTCCCTCCCTTAGTCCCCCATCCTCCATTAAGCCCCAGTGTCTGACATTCCCCTCCCTGGTCCATAGTACTAATTGTACGACTCCCACTTATGAGTGAGAACATGTAGTGTTTGGTTTTCTGTTCCTGTATTAGTTTGCTAAGAATGGTTTCCAGCTTCATCCATGTCCCCACAAAGGACATGAACTCATTCTTTTTTATGGCTGCATAGTATTCCATGGTGTATGCCAGTTAGAATGGCGATTATTAAAAAGTCAGGAAACAATGGATGCTGGAGAGGATGTGAAGAAATAGGAACGCTTTTACACTGTTGGTGAGAATGTGAATTAGTTCAACCCTTATGGAAGACAGTGTGGCGATTCCATAAGGATCTAGAACCAGAAACACCGTTTGGCCCAGCAATCCCATTACTGGGTATATAAGCTAAGGATTGTAAATCATTCTACTATAAAGACACATGAACACATATGTTTACTACAGCAAAGACTTGCTCTTAATTTCATAAAGCAAAAATAACATACATTGTCTTGCAAGGTTTATAATGCATGTAGTTGCAATAAATATGACAATGTAGGAAAAAAAGGCAGATGGATAAATGGACCTACATGGTTACAAAATCTCTACATTTTATGTAAAATAGCACAATGTTGGCATTTCTGCTGGAGCTAATGCCCCTTTGTCCCTCCTTTGTCTCCTGCTCCCATTACTTTCCCCATTCCTTGCCTTCACCACTTCCATCATCATACATGAGAGGCTGAGAATCAACCAGGGCACAGTAGATATGCAAATCTCAAGAATATACTCCAAGATATTTGGACTATAAAGGTTAAATTACCATTTTTAAGAAGTATTTCCTTGCAACTATTGAAAAAATAAGACTCAATGTTATTCCTACCACAACATCATTCTCACTCATGTGTGTTTTGGCATGCTTTCTAGGAAGAGAAACTGAGTTAAACATGGTCTATCAGCTGGGAACTGCATATCATCTACACCCCCATATCACCTGTGTGAACACATCGTGGTGGAGAAAGGAGCAGAAACCACTTACTTGGGAAATTAGGCATTATCCGTGTCTGAAAACAAGTTCCACCTTGTCAAATCATCAGAACGTTCATATAGATTAGATAAGGTCTTCTAAGAATTTTGATACACTTAATTTTTTTTCATCACATTTTAATAAAAAAAATAATTTAAGAGCATTATTTTCTACCCTTTCAAATTAGTATAATCTGACTATATAACAGATTGAGTATCCCTCATCTGAAACGCTTGGGACCAGAAGTATTCAGATTTCAGATTAATTTGAAGTTTGGCAATTTGCAGAATACCAGTTGAGCATCCTCAGAAAATCTGAAATCTGAAATCTGACACGTTCCAGTGAGCATTTCTTTCGAAACTGTTTCGAAATCTTGGATTAGGGGTGCTCAACCTGCATTGGTCAAATCAATTTACTACACTACAATTGGGTCTGCCAGGTGAATTACCATTCCTAGGAGAAACTTCAGTCATCTCTTCCTTTAACAAAATTATAAAAATTTTATGAAATCCATAATTTATTAGTTTTACATGAAATTTATGAAAAATCCATACAATTGTTAAAAGACAAATTTGGTGACAGAAATTCTGAAGCGTCACTGGGTACAGCAATGCCAATTCATCCCTCTCCAACATTTCTCACATGCAGTCTGGTGGTGATAAGTATCTTGCTTCAAAAGCATATAAACTTTGCTTTCAATATAAAAACAGTGGCATTTGGGATGCTATCAAAACAGACTTGAGTGATACAGCCAAGGCCCCCCTGCCTGTACTGGAATTCCCAACACAGATTAATTTGACATTTTATATTAGAAGGAAATCATCTATCCATGCAATTTGCCAATATGAATGATGTGTGGCAATGTCCAGATGTTCTTATTAGACATAATTTCCCAACATCTTAAACTAAATTACAATTTTACATATCAAGAGAAGCCCCTGAAGATATGAGTTTATGATGAGGTACCAGAAGTACAGGGTCTATCTTTACACTACATGAAGCTTAAACTCTGTCTAGCTTTCCATGGTTTAAAAAGTCCAAGCTCCTAACAACCAGAAGGAAAACTGGCTTCAGTATTCATTAAAATTTTACGGTTATTATTTACTCCATTACTTGAGGCTGTCCTACAGAAAAAGATAGAGGAAGAACAGTGTACTAGATGATTTGAAACTCCAGTGATTCATAAGAAAATTGGATACAAGGGGGAAAAAAACCCACGTGTTTTTTGATACGCAAATCGAACATCACATTTCAACATATGGTTTTATTTTTCTGTTTCTATTTCAATGCTGCATCTAAGCTATAACCTCTGAGTGGTTTGACAGCATTTTAAAGTTCATGCATATCAATATGATCCCTTACAATCTCTCTTTCCACATCCAAGACATTAAACTTGGGCACTGTGATCTTTATGAGCATTTGAAGGGCTTCAGACTGTCCACGCAGTGGAGTGAGAAGCAACATGTCTTTTGCCTTTTCATGAAATCGAATGATAATGAAGCAATTTAATATGCTTTCAAAAGGCTACGGAACTCCATCAGGAGAAGATCTGAGTTTCAGGATGGGCATGCATCATTTAAATACCTGCTTAGCTAAAAATTAATTTCCCCTTTGGGTTTTTCAATTGTATAAGTGACCCCAGCTCTCTGCTCAAGGGAAGGAGTTGTGAGACTCCAGTGCATCCCTCTGTCTTCCCTAGAGTTCCTGGGAATATGTTATTTTGCATGTCAAACATCCATCAATCATAAATCACATTTAAATAATGAAATATTGAGAAGTATTAACAAAATAAACAGTGGTTGCACATATTATACCATTTCAAAAATTACTTATAACATTATTTACATATAACAAAGTTGAGACGGCCAAAGTGAAATGTTGTTATGCAAGCATGAGCACTTGCTAGATCCAACTACAATCACTGCTGAATGGTTTTTATCTTTAGAAAAACAAGTGAAGACGGGGAAAGCTCATGTGGATTCTGTGGAGACAATCATTCTTAATACACTTCATATGTTGTAGCTTGGTTTTCCAAATACTAATACTTTTGTTACATAGAAAGGGTGATAACCTATAATCCGGAAAGTCTGTGGAAGTTTCCCCTGGGTGCCCCTGAGTATTCTTCACACATGTAAAAAAACTAATCAATTAAAGAGG